ATGTGCTGCATGAGGCCTGACGCGTTCATTCTTGATTCAGATTCTTGATTGATTTAAGAATCACGAATCCATCATGGCAGTCATGAGTCGCGTACGGTACATGCACAGCACCAGTCACACAGTCACGTACAGTTGAGTCGCATGCAAGATTCCCCCCTTTTTTGTATATTATTTATCATTACACTACTACTACTAGCGCGATGAGGTTGAAACACGAGTCACGTGAGTGTTCAGTCTTCGAATCAAGGCTAGTCAAGCATTCAAGATTCTTGATTCAAGCTTGGACGTGATTTACTTATGATCGTATATTCGGCAAACTTTGGTGTTTTAATCACCATCGATGCGAATATTAACCAACCCTTGAAAACAAATCGCACGGTTCGTGTAGCGCATGCATCATGCCCACGCACGCGGCCGTGGCACTGGGCGCGCGACCTTGGTGGGCAGGGATGACCCGCGGCTTGCGAGAGCCAAGTCAAGAATGCCATGCGCGGCGCCGGCCAAAACGATATCGATCAACGCAGATTCAAATTCGTAGGCCTTGACATAGACATCCATCCACATTTGCCATTGGACAAGAACTCATTGACTGGACGCCCAAGGGACAAATAGTCATCCACATCATTCACCAGATCTTCGCCTTCCACTGGCCTTGTCCGCGCATCAGTACGGCCTGGTCTGCCAGCGCTACCTGTGCCTGGCTCACGACTCATCTGTACGCCCTAGCGGTGCGGTCACATCAGTCAGAGCTGATTCATCATCGCCCTCCAACACGAGAGTTGAAGCGAGGCAAGAAAGGTGCAAGCCGAGCTCATCGCAAGACCCCCCTTCTCACGTTTGACTCTCTGGAATGCATCCGCGTCGGTAGCTCCCTTCTGCTTTTCACACAAAAGTCCACCTTTATTCCAGCCTTCTCGGCGACCTCTACCAGACGTCATCCGAGCACAACGACCTTAGTGCATTCAACATCCTCTCAGGCATCTAGAAATCTGCCACTTGAGGCATTCTGATCTTGCGTCATCTCGGAGATGCGTGCAGGGCAGAGCGGCGGCTTGGAAGCCGTCGTTTCCAAAGCTCCTGCTGC